CTCAGAGGGGTGTGTGCTGTTCCATATTAATGACAAAGAGAGGAGCGGGAGCAAGAAGTCGCAATCATACACTCATTTGTTTAAAAAGAGCCCGCCTCACAATACAGTCGGCGGGAGTCCACAGGAATCTAGTGAAAGCTGGAGACTGCTTCAATGACAAAAGACAGAAACAACTGCACTTTTTTGTCCCTGAAACAAGGCCCACCCGATTCCAGAGTGCTGCTGGTCTTTCACCAAAACCAAGGATACCTTCATGCATTTCAATGGGGGTATTCCTGCATAAAGAAGGAGGCACTACTGCATAGCACACTCATCTCTCTCCTGTTGTTAAGCCGTTCTTTATGGCTGAAACAATAGAGCTCTGGGCCTTCCCCTTGGATAACAAATAAACCATTATTTTGCATGGCAGAGCGAGAAACCTGTGTGCAGGAGGTAGAGTGAGAATATGGCGAAGAGAAAACTTCAGATGTTAGTCTGTCTGATGAAAAATTGCAATGCTTTACTTTCACTTGTAAATGTCCCCCCCTCAATATAAACAGGAAGATTGCAAAAACAACACATAAAAGTCAATATAGCCCTGTCTCCCTTAACCTGACCGGCAAATTACTCAACAACAAAAAAACTGACAGCCAAAGAGGCAATTTTAAGAGAGATTATAAGAACTGTATATATCTCACACTCTGGCTCTAGAAGTGGGGCAAGCCAATCACCAAAGTGTAATTAAGATTCACTTGCTCCTGTTTTACTGATAATCCTGTGTGTAAAACTGTCACAGGCGAACAAAAGGTCTTTTTTTCTCACTGAGTCGTTGCCTGAGAGTGATTACTTTTGCCACACAAGTCTTTTCATTTTCTCAAGGCAAAGCCTCTCATTCGTCTCCCTGCTCCCTGAGTCCAGCTGAGGGGGAATTGCTCTCTGTGACATGTAGGAAACTCAGCATGTTCATGTGGTAGCCGATATTTTTCACTGTTTGTCACTAAATCTAACTTAAAGACAAGGTTATGGGTGAGAAAGGGGGATTTGGAGATTATATTTAAGAAACTAAAACAATTTTAGAACTTTTGGTACACACTGACATCCTCTTAAAGTTATATTCAAGTCAATAAAGTAAAAACGTCTACATTATCATTTGGCGTAATGAGAGTGGTGGGAGAAAAACTGCTTTTCTTTCAACAACTGCACTAACAAACAGAGACCATAAAGAGACACTTGCCCCCTTCATGGCCCTAAAAACCAACATTAGTCCACCTGTTTAGTGTCCCTGCTGGGGATGTGTGTGTTTGTGTATGTGCACGTACATGCACATGCGTGGGTGGGTGGGTGTAAACCACTTTAACCCATGCAGGGGTGCAGGGAGAAAAAAATACAAAGAGAAAGAAATCCTTAATGCATGTCTAAATTCAGCTGTGTTACATAAGAATTACATTTTTGTGGACTGATACTGGTATTCAAAGAGCATGGATGTGCCAACATTTTCCGAAAGTCCTACTTTATACACGCAGGCCTAAAGTAAAGGTAACCATATGCATTTGTTATAAGCATCAAGTCTCTGGGAACAAGTTTGTGAGTTGACCTAATTTCTAGTAAAAACTCTGGGTTTCCAAAATGTGTCTCCTCTCACAAAAGTAGAGCAGGTAAATGATCAACTCTAATCTGAGATTTCAACATATTAGATTTGCACTAAAACCTCTTTGCTCTTTTTATTCGCTGCCTAAGAGGTTATGTAACAGCAAGGTTTTAATTTTACAAGACCTGCAGGTTACTTTTACATCGCTCAGATCTTCATTTCTATTTTCAGTTCCATGTCATTTAAAGCTCTAGTTAGGATGTGAGTAGTTCATTAAGCTTGATCCTCACATTGCAGGCTATAAAGCAGTGCTGCTAGGGGCGCTGCGAGGAATCCTGCACCCCCTGATGGGAAGTGACACAGGGCTCCCCTCCCCAATACTGCTTAAATTTACAGTATGGCCATCCCTGAAAGCAGCATCTCTGCCTTCTGCTCACATATCTTCTCATTTCTTATTCTGAGGAAGACATCACATCAAACACACCCAAACAAAGTAATTCTCATATTGAACATCTGTTTCATTCATATATCACTCGCTTGGGTGACTCATTGCAATCTGTCTGTCTACACAACACAGGCTCTTCTTCTGTAGAAACACGAGTTTAGTAAGTGTGTGATGGCACAAAAGATTCCACTTCACACTCTTCTTTTATAAACACAGGACTCAGGACAGAGAGCCCTACAGAGCCTCTTGAGGGACATTTCGTGCTGCCAGATTTGGGTTAAGCATCCAGCAAGATAATGAGATGTGTAGATATCCCATTGGGGCTATTTTAGGCATTTCTGTTATATGAGAAGAACTTTGGATTAATGGGAGGTTTGTTTCCTTTGTTAGCGTAAGATCTTTTGCAGCCTAATTCATTCTTTTAAATCCTGCAGATTCTCTTATTCCCTCAGGTATTTGTGCATTGACCATTCAGATGGTCAAACTTGCTTTCATAATTCAGTTCGGCTCTGTTGCTGGCATGCAAGCCATTTGCAAAATTTGATCAAGAAATAACAATTTTAAGGGAGGGAGTATTAAAGTGTAAAAAGTGGGCAAGAGATGCTGCATTTTTATTCAAAGCCATGGTTCGCCTGAGTTGCCATACTTCTCATGACTGCATCTGAATTTTGCATGAAGGGATACAATACATTGCAAGTCACAAAGAAATCTCAGTTCAAAGAAGAAACACGCTCAAGCAGTCTCGAAAACATCAAGAAGAAACCGCCTATAAACAAGGCGAGCCACGCACAAGCCCACAAACACAGTAGTACACAATCTCATGTGTATCACAAGTGTACTTCCCTGCTCATTAACATGAAAACATCCGAATGACAAGTCCGGATACAACCCCGTTAAAGATGAAAGGCTGGAGAGTGAATCCAGCTCAGGTGAAATTGGGTGACCCCCCCCACACAAGATTAGTCCATTAGTGAGTGGGAGAGCCCTGCTCGCCCGACAAGTAATACCAGCTGTGACACCGAGCGCTGCCTGTCTGTTCAGGAGGAGGGGGGCTAGGGTGGTGGTGGGGGAAGGGTGGAGACAAGGGAGTGAACAAAAAAAAAAACACAGATGCATCTTTCTTTCTAGGCTGTTTGTTCTAAAAGGAACCCAGGGCTCTGTTTTTCTTCGTTTCTATCCTGCTCTGTCCCTGACTTCTTGTGGCCTTCGCCGAAGCCCTGCCAGCTGTAGCTTCTTCATCTGTTCAAACACAATAAACAAGGGCCTGTTTTATATTACCAGTATCGACGCACTTTTATTGAAAATCCCAAACTCAATAAACCCTTTCAGTTAGATTTTACCCACACTGATCAAATTGAGAACTAATCAGGAGTGCTTCTGTGTCTGTCAGGGGGAAAGTCGCAGGTTTTATCTCGGAGAAGTGACCATCTGTTGTGTAAGCAAACACACACATGTTATGGCCATCACTCCAGGCGGCACGTCTGCTAAACACACAGAACTGTGGACAGCCATAAAGTGTAACCTCATTACCAACTCAGTGCACTCTTTTCCCATCTCAAGCACACGGCACTGCAGAGGCAGGGCGCTGTAAAAACACCTTAAAAGGGCCATTCGTTTCCTCTCAAATAAACCACCTGAGCCTGACTGATAGGTGCTGTATGGTGTTAATTTACAACAACAGGCGCCACCGTAGTGTGACGGCGCTGAAAGCAGTACAGTGGGATCAACCTCTCCGCCCCTTTCTTTTTCAAGGAGGTCCTCTGAGCTCATGTACAGCTTTGCTTAATGGCCTGGCTGAGTGATGGGAACACATGGTTTTACCTGTTGGCCTGACTGAGCAGACAAGGAAACACACAGAAACAAGAATAGATGTTCTCAAAAAACACTCCTGTCCTTGTTTCATCAGTGCCAGAATAATCTGTTTTTCAACTTATATTCAATCACCACTTAAAGCAAAGTAACTGCATTCAATTTCTAACTAAAGAACCAAATTACACTGCTGAAACTCAGAGGCATTCACTTCTACAATCCATTACACATCCACGTCCAAAATGAGTCCTCTCCTATGTGTAATTACTAGAGGGAGCCTGTCAGGAGCTGTTTCCCCAAACCAAACAGGCAGACTATAATTACAATAAATCAGACAGGATGTGAAGGCAGCGTCATTATGCTCAACAGCCTGCATTAGCTGGACAGAAAACTAACAAAAAATTAGGAATCATGATGACATCATGGCAGGAGCACATGTGAAGAATGAATGGGTGATGATGACCACCTCGCTCACTGCATGCCTCTCCCATCTTCTGGGGGGTTCAGAGAGAATGGGGGTGGCACAATGGACAATATTTCATGTCACACAGGCGATTTAGACACGGAAAAGTCACTTTTATGGACATAAACAGACCTAATATGAACTATTAACTCAGTAAAGTTAAAGGAAGCTGCGTAACTAGCTTGCTTTTTTTATACAAAAATTATTTTAAGGATTTGATATACAATTTAACCCACGGGGGGGAAAGTGGTTGCTGCATTATATGTGGATAATAAGCCGCTCAAAAAAGATAGACGATTAATCTGCCTGTTATTTGTAATTAATAGCCTATAGGAAGAATTCATAGATTTAAATGTAACCCAAGCCACCTGTGACGACAAAAAAAAAAAAAAACATCAAACAGAGCCGCCGCGACTTTATAAAAGAAGAGCCGTAACTGACTAACCAACTTATATAACTACAAACCACCTCAGTCTCTTCAGCACTTCTCCCGGAAATGTGCTCGATAACCCGGGCTGAAGTTTCAGGTGGCACCTGCTGACACACTGCTGAGTACCCACACCCCCCCCCCCCCCCACACACACACACACACACACACACACACACACACACACACACACACACACCCCACCCCATATGTACCTGCGGCTCCGGAGCACGAGCGCACCCCGCGTGAAACCCCGCCACGCTGGCCGGTTAATGAGACTATAGCTTACCTTGGCAGAGGAAAGCGGAGACGAGGAGGGCAGACACGCAGCTGGCGGACAACAAGTGCATCCTCGCGACTCTCAGGTCCTCAATTTGTTTCAGAGGTGCGTAATAAACCACTTGGTAGAGGTTTTTTTCTTTTTGTTAGAGGTGGTTTTGATTATTAATGGTCCTCGCGAGCCTCTGCTACCTGAAAAGACAGTTTCAGTTCAGACTTGGCTCTTCTCTCAACGTGGCATGTGCTCACTAACACGCGCTCGCATCAGTTCTGGAGGAACAGGTAATTGCGAGGGGCACACAGACGAGCGCGAGGGCGGGGAATGCTATCTGTAGCCCCGCCCCCGCCCCCCCTACCCAACCCCCACCCATCCCACCCCCTCCCTACTATCCTCCCTAGCAGAGTCACACACACACACACACACACACACACACACACACACACACGCACGCACACACACACGCACACACACACACGCACACACAGGGCCTACAAACACACACGCACACACACCCCACCCCTTCACTTGAGACCCCCCCCTCAGCTTACCCCCTATGTCCCCCCTCTTCTCCTCCCACTCACTCTCTTTACTCTCATCTTCTCAACTCCTCTCTTTTCTCTCTCTCTCTCCCCCCCCCCCCCCCCCCCCCACACACACACACAGACACACACAGACACACACACACACACACACACAGACACACTCACACACAAAAAGGAGGGAAACCTTCAATCAAGCAGCACCTCAGTCTTGTTTCGTGCAGGAAAAGAAAACAGCTCTAGGAAACAAAACACTAATCCTCTAACCTGTATTAAAAGCCTTATTGACATAAAAGTACATTTTAATAGCCTTTGTACTTTGTGTCACCAGCTTTCTTCTGACAATTATTTACTCCATTAAATAACAATTGCTTGGTTGACAAATAATGAAAGAAAACATTTTCAATATGCTTGAGGAGATTTTTGTCAAGTCCTTAAGCTGTTGAATGATAAATAAAATAAGCCCAAAGTTGTAGACTGGTTATCTGTCCAGCTGATTATTGGTTAATCAATGCATTGATCTATCTTAAGCATAGTCCTCATCTCAGTGTTACAATTCTGCAAATGCACTGCTAAAAGATCACCCAAACCTGAAATTCCTCATTAATACAATGTTATTCCAATGTCAAAACTGCATGCGTCATCAAGATAGACAGTCCTGATTTCTTGAGAGTACCTGAAAGATGACATTCTGATGTATTATATTTATTTATTTTGTTATTTTCGTCTGACAGCGGTGGCATTTGGTGAGCGCATCACACGAAATCTGAATCGGCAAAGTAACTTGTAATTGCACACATCACAAAGGTGCAGTGAAGTAATAGGGGGGAAAAAAAAGTTCAACGTCTACATCTGAAATGTTGTAAAAGCAGACGTCTGCCAAGATGGAGAGTGCCAGAAGCTCAATCTTGTACTTAACTACTGTGCTGGAGTAAACGTACATGTTGTTCTCCACCTCTGCTGTCTCACACATGAGCCCCCCCCCTCCTCTGCACACACACACACACACACACACACACACACACACACACACACACACACACACACACACACACACACACACACACACACACACACACACACACACACACACACACACACACACACACACACACACACACACACACACACACACACACACACTGAGGTTTTCTTTCTATCAAGACTTTTTTTTCTGACACAGTGCCTTGCAGGCAGAGGACAGAAGGTAAAGCATAGCTATAGGATGAGTGTCCAAAGTTAATTATAATGAAGAAAATTCTCTATAAATAATTTAACCATAATTAATTATTTAAATCCTCATTCATATCTCTTTACTTTTCAATTATTTTTCAAGAGCTGGGGAACAATAATTAATATCCATATAATGACTATGCTACTAATTAGAATTAATGGGGGGCTCTTTGGCACAGAGAGAGCTTGTTCTTCTTCTTTTTCTCATTTTTTTACTCTGTGTAAAACCAGGAATGGTCCATATTTACTTGAATGGCATATCATGGTTTCTTGACAGGTTTCTTGTGAGATGACAAACAGATCATGTCGTGGATGACGCCGGTATTTGTATACAGAAAGTCAAGAAAGTGGCATAGCAGTGACAGTTTCAGAAAGTCCATTCCAAGAGTCTGTAAAAATAACATCAGAGCATGTAAAATGTCATTAAAAAAAGCGCACTTGCTGCAAATAAAATAACTTACCACTGTGCTGTAACTGCGTGATCATGCTTGTCTGATCACAGAGCGTGTGTGTCTGTGTGTGTGCGCGCAGTGTGTGTTCGGGCAGAGGGAGAAATGTATCAGGGCAAAGAAGCAAGTATTCCTCACCCCGGGTGTGAAATTCATGTAGGTCTGTGATGGTTTGTGCAAATGGAGTGAGGGCACAGGCTGTGAAAAACCTAATGCAATTTGATTAGAAGTTAACCGCAAAGCAATATTTTTCTTGCCTCAGTGCACCGAGAGAGAGAAAAAGAACTCCCCCCCACACACACACACACACACACACACACCCCCTCCCCCCTCCCCGTGTGGGTGAATGAGACTGAATGATGACCAAGCCTTGAGCTCTGTGTTCAATTACTAAACAATAACATCTTGGTCATAATTGGGATTTCAGGAGAGGCTGGTCAAGGACTACATATTGCAAAACACACACAAAAAAAAAAAAAAAAAAAAAAAAAGCAGAAACACTCAAGTTCATACACAAGAAAACAATGCAAGCAAAATGCTAAAGCTTCATCTCATGCTTCTTCCTTTCAGAGTTATAAATGCAGCTGTAGCTCAGGTTCATTTTGTATTCACCAGAGAACATTTTCACTCAGTCCCCATGACTGCAGAAAGAGATTACACACAGACTAATGAATTACAATATATCATGTCATATTGGAGGAGCTGTACCGTGCTCTTGCTGTTTTTTATTTGATGAAAGAATGAGCGCTCTTATTTTGACATCTAGTGAGACATCTTGTGACACCGCTCCCGGCTCTGAGCACAGAAACAAACAACCCATGCACTGCTGTGGACTCGGGCAATGAAAGTGCACATTTTTTGACATTCAGGGAAGCTGCAGACAGAAAATCCCACCCACCCACCCACCTACCTACCCACCTACCCACACCCCATCTTCCCTCACTGACTCATGTTGCAGGTCTTCTCTAATTATCAAAGGTGTGTTTCAAGTATAAAAATAATTAAATTCAGCTTTGCCAAAACGAATGTGACAACAGCAATGACCAGAATTGGCAGAGCAGCTGAGCGGCTCATTTGCAGCCTTGCAGTGGTCACTTCTCCTCGCCGATTAATACGACGCAGGTTAATGCTGCTTTGTGAAAATCAAATTTCTCCCCTCCTGTCCTGCGGCGGTGTTGGCCCCTCAACTTCTCATGGGAGGCAGAGGAGTGATTAGTCTCCGACAGATTGGACTTCGGTAAACTGTGTCAAGCAGTGAACACAGTGACCCTGACATTTTCAGCATGGCCCAGGGAGAGGAAGATCCACTTAATGACCAGTCCTGTGCTGGCTAGCATCCCCACTTCGGATCGATAATTGCTTCATTAGTTAATCTGATTGAGTGTGCGAGCAGCCTGCAGTCGATGCAGAGTTACCTCTCTTTCTGCGAGGAGGCTGTGTTTTATTGATTTCATTGTTCTCTGAAGAGCCTAACTTTTCCCCGCAACTAATCCTCACATTTACACACAGAAAAGGAGAATGGATCTCTTTGTTTGAGCCGATCATGCCATCCATATGTCACTTCCATTAAAGCTGATCGATGGTTACTGCTTTTTGATAGCAACAGGGAATCAAATGAGACAGCCAGTGGGTTATTTTGCCAGGTTGTCATGTTCCTCGAGGTTTAAACAGCAACTGTGCCAACTAGGCTGTATATAGCATCAATACAAACTTTAGCTTGAGAACAACACAAATGTGAAAGTTTTTTTTTTTTTCTTTTCAGATTGGTCTGGTCCCCCTGGCATCAAGCAGATTTCCATCCAGCCTGAATCAGTTCAGTCAGTAGATCTAATATCTAATACTTTGAATGTGTAATATTCTGAATTCAATCATCTGTCAGTATCCAAATCCATAAATGGGAGCAAACCAAAACTATGGTTGTATGGTTGTGATGTCTGGAGGCATTTGGGTCTGCTCATTTAAAAATGCCCATTGGAAATTTGAGAAAAACTGAGCGTTTCTAGAGATACTTCCATGTGTGAATTGGTTTGGCAATGGTCGGCTAACGTATGCATACTTCAAAACTAAAAACTGTTTGATTCAAACTTGGACAGAATTGTTAAAGCTGTGTCACCTAGTGTGTGCGTCCCATGTGCAGAGGCTGTGGTCCAAGCTTGAATCTGACCTTTTGGCATGTCATTCCCCACTCTCTCTCCCTGATGTCTGACTCTATCCACTGTCCTATCTCTAAATAAAGGCATTCCAAGCCCAAAGATAAACCTCCAAAAAAAGCTGTGTCACCTGATGTTGAACAGCCAAGTGGGAACAAAGACAAGCAAGTGATTAAAACGTTTCCCAACAGTCCCAAAAATAAATGAATTAACAGAAATATCTGTCTCCTAAGCAGCTAAACACTCAATCTTTACTTGCAAGTAGCTACCGCTGAACATTTAGCTGTTTGGTGCTATGGGTAGGTCGCTGGCAGAGGTTTTAAGCCTTTTCATTTAAATAACTTTTCTGCTGAATGTTTTAAACAAAATTGATGAGAGTGCTAGAGCTAAAGGTACTAAAAGCTCTGTGGACACAGAAAGAGAATCCACTTGTTTTTTTGTTAATATGAAAATATTGATAATATTCATTTTTATTTTTGAACACACTAAACTCTGGCTTCTAAATGTAACATCTGATGTCCTGAAAAGTTTGAACATGTTGGCTGACATGAGTTTTGCTGTCTAATTAATGCAACGCTGACAGATATTTCAATGGCAACAGCTGGTATACGCTTTCATAATGTAGTCTTCTGTCAAAGTAGGAGAGACAGGAGTTAGCGGCAGAGATAGTTAGCATATTGCATACAATTATGTCAAAATTACAAACTAAGCCATAAGGCTGTGGAAGTATATTGTTAAAATGATAAAATACAAGTGTTTCAACTGTTAATACAATAAGACATGATGTTCTTATAAACTATGAAGTGGATTATTATTCACTGTTTGTGACGTTCTTCCATGAACTGTCAAAAACGTCTCATTGCACTTAAACTGATCTTAGGCGATTCCTGTATCCCATTCTTCATTTGGTTTA